CCCTGTAGTAGGCAACCGACAGTTCGAATTGAGAAAGAATAACTTCGAATGATTGTACCTGCTGATCTCCACCCAATATCACTTTACTCAAATGGTAAAATATTAACTGCTTGAAATACGTGGTGTTCCTTTGTTGCTGTTGTGATCTGGGTGAGCCAGCGCCGAGCCAGCTGTGAGCAGGCGCTCGCTCGCTACGCTACGAGTTCATATACTGCTTGCACAGCTGATGTTGATTTAAAATAGCCTTACGAACTACCCACGTTACTATTCTATTAACTGTATGACATTACTTTGTGCGCCAAACAAGGTCAATCTAGAATTAATGTCGCAACGTAATGTGGTACACACACCGATACCGATGCCTTCTCGCCATCTCAAGTTTGAGCATGTGGTAGGAAGCTATCAGCTACGAGGGGATAAAATGTTCCACTGCACTTTGGGGCCGAAGGTTATTTACGACTGTGCCCTTTGCCCGACTTGGGTGTCAGCGCCGCAGACCTAGGTAGATGTATGCCAGGCGCGTCGCAGCGTAACAGTGTTTCGTGAGATATCGCGAAGCCTGTTACGCGAGACGTGATCTTGCGTACATCTACCTAGTTTAAAAAGTCGCGGGTGTCCGCCCATTTCGTAAAGTTTGCGTTTGAAACATTTCCGTCCTGTTTGTGCCGCATCCGGTCCTTTATTTATGCGTAGTCGGAGTGGAGGAGTAGAGTTGTTGAAGAAATGTGACACAAGGAGGGTCCTCGGACAAACAAGCCCTGTGTATTCTCCCCCCCCCGCGCGTGTGTCGTCGCACAAAAGCGCCTACGGATACTTGTTCGGGAGCTTGGCGAGGGGCGCGCGCTCGCACATGTCCCCGTAGGATCGCAGCATCCGGTTCCGCGGGTCGGCGGCGGACCCACAATGGCCCAGGATGTTTACCTTTTCTGCTCGTGTTTCTGCGCGGTCGGTATCGGGCCGCTCAGGAGGAGACCTTGGCTCGCCTTGGCCCACCGCTGGGCGGCCCCGCCCGGACCCCCAGGGGCCCGGCTCCCATCCCGCGCACGGCCTCTATCACTGCCGTAAGCCATCTGGCGCCCCCGCCTCCTCCCCCTCCTCCCTCCGGGCCGCCTCCCGCCCGCCTCCTGCCCGGGGAGCGCCGCGGAGGTGGGCAGGCCCGCATGGCGCGCACGTTCGCTTGGCTGCCTATCTCGCAGGCGCTCGGGCGGTGGTCGCGCGTCGGCACGCACAGGCCGCCGCAGCCGCACAGCCCTCCCCAGCGGGCGAGGCGCGAGTCCCAGACGCCAAACGGCCCTCGTAATCAGACAGGATCCAGATATTGGATTGGAGGGCCCGGGCCGCAGCCGCCCATCCCTCCGAGTGCCTTCGCTCCCCCCGCGCGCACCGCGCACCGACGCGCACCGTGCGGGCAGCGCGCAGCGTGGCACCGGCGCTGCTATCTTTAGATCATAACATTTACGGATGGGAAACATTCACTGGCGCATGAAATCTGCGTGACTCTGCAGTGCTTTCCAAGGATCTCCAAGGATCTGCAGTAGTAGTGATCTGCAATGATCTTCGGTTCACACGGGTGCAGCTGCCGGCAGTGTGACGCAATAAACAGCGGGATGCGCGTCACGTGAGCGCCGGCGGGGGCCGCGAGAGAGACAGTCGAGAGAGGACGGTGAGGCGGGCGGGGCGGGGCGATAGAGAACCTTCCGGACGGAAGGCGTCGTGATTTAGCCTCTGTCAAACAGAGCACTTGGTCCCAATCAATTCGACGCGGGCGTGGCGTGGCACCGCCGCTCCGGGCCCCCGGGCCTACAACAGTTGGGCTGTTTCTGTTCGCTACAGGCTACATTGTCGCGGGGAGGGGACTCCTCGCCGCAAGTCGAGGCGGGGCGGCGGGGCCCACCTCGGGCAAGGGGAGGACGGCGAGCGGCGCTGAACGGGCCGTGCAACCGCGCGACATCCACACTACGCCAACCAACCACATGGCAACCACCACCATCATCACCTAGGCCCAACGCGGGCGCGCGCGGGTGCCGCCGCCAGCTTTTGAAAGGGGCCTGGGATTCGGGGTGGGGTAGAGAGAGAGAGACGGGCCTAAAGGCAACGAGCTCGGCGTGGGCTGCTCGTGACAGCGCGCTTGTCCCTGGCGGCACCTTCCCACCGCAGTATTCCTCACATTCAGGGACCAACAACTTCCTCGCCCCCTCGGGCCCAGCAGCGGCCCAGAGCGGCCCAGAGCGGCCCAGAGCGGCCCAGCCAGCCGAGCGCGGGCGGTTTAAGGCCGCGCCATGTTGCGTCAAATCGGCGGCTGCTGCCACTACTACAGTTGCTGAGCTGCCGTCATGTTATGTATCCGTGACAGATGGGGCGCGCTTTGAGAGTGAAATGAACCCAGGCTGATTGTCCCAGGAGGGAGGGGACCAGCGGGCACCAGCGGGCACCAGCGGGCACCGGCGGTGGGATTCTGTGCCACCCCCACCCAACCCCTTCCCCCTCTCCCTCTCTCTCGCCGGGGCACGCCACTCCGACCAAACAGGGGTCACACTAAATTTTCGTTACGGCTGGATTTAGCGGACGAGCGGGGGTGTCGGCGTGCCGAGGACACAATACCGCTCTACCGGCCGACAGGTCGACAGGCGGGGCAATACGTTGTCTTTTCCCTTATCTACGTACATGCTGCGCGCTTCAGTGCGACACGTGTAGTACGCGTGTAGACAGTTAGGCTGATTGTCCCGACCACTTGTCTGTGCTGAGAGGAGTCGTTCTGAAAGTACGGCCGCTTTCCATCAGATTCATCCGGCAAGCTAGGCGCCTGCGATACTCGGGGTAGGCCGCACCGCAGTACACGCATGCACTGCAGGCAGATATGTTGCCTACCCAACAGGCGCCATGAGAGCTGGCACGGAACGAACCGAACTCGGCAGTTTCGTAACGACGAACGACGGGCCGAGGTACCTTCTGGCTGATCCCACAAGATCGCGCCTGATCGCGTACTCACGCATGATTGCGCAAGTTTGTCGCTCCCTCGACTAAAACGCACGTAGGCGGGCGAACGGTTTGACATAGGCGCCGCAAAAGGCAATACGCACTCAAGTAGTGCTCTCTACGGTGCGCCGTATAGAAGAGAGGGGTGAGGGCAGATTGAGGGGGTATACGGCGAGATTGGAGGAGGCGGAGGCGGTAACCTTCCCCACTCCAACCCACCCCCCGCAATCAGCATGGCCTCGCGCTCGCAAATCGCGCAAATTTGTCAGGTGATGTCCTAATTGACTGGAGACACGCCGCGCACGGCGGTGTTTGGTCCTGAATGTCTGCCGCCGCGCCGCGAGGGCCCCGCCGGGCCCCGCCCACCTTCCATTCATGGACCGTGGGGCGGAACTTAACTCCTCTCCTCTGCGAGGAACACGAGGAGCGCAGTTGTCAGGTAAACGGCATCGGATTGCCCCCCGCGCCGCCGGCGGGCGCACCGCGCCGCTGGTCGGGACGGGCCGTCGTTCGGCGATTCGAGTCCCAGCCCAGCAGTCGAAATCACAAATTGGTTCCGTCTCCAGGACGTTTGTCGGGTCGCTTTGGTCGGGC